GTTAGGACTTAGTAGACTTGACTGCAAAGTGCAGAAGTCTTGTTCTCAGGTGGCTTTTCCAAGAGGTCTTGGGGCCACCTCAAAAGCTCAAACAAATGAGGACAACAAAGTGCTGGAGATGCTTCCATGGGACCATTTTATGTTGCCTTTGCTGTTTTAGGACAAGGAGAAGGTACCCATTTTTTTAATTATTCTTTGGCTTGCTAAAACAGTGTGACAAGTAGAAACAATTTGGAGAAGCTTCTAGTTGAAAGAATCAAGGTATCTAACCCAAAAGACGGTTCTAGACCAACCTATATAATATTGTTCAAACTGTTATTATCTGATTTCCAAACAGTCCATCAAAGTTGAATATCAAGCAATGATACACCAGTAAAAGAAATAATACTGTAAAGTGTTATCAGATGAAATGGGTTCCCTTTGTTTGATTCCCAGAGTAAATGTGGGAGCTTCCTTAAGTATTATGCAAACAAACAAAAAATCAAAATATAAATTTCCAAAAATGTGTCCAGACTTTTCAAAATACTGAGAAGCACCAAACCCAGTGCCATCTTTTATTGAAATGATAAAATTAAAATATTTCTTGGTGGGGTTTTTTTTTTTTTGTTTACTTTAGAGAAGCAACCGATGATGCTATTCCCCATAGCCTACAAAAACAGTTCAGAATACCTTTTATTCTACTTCAGGATATTTTCAGGGGTGTATCCCATCCCCTGTGGGCCACTGGGCAAGCTATGTTGGGCAGTCTGAAATTCAGCTCTCTCCTCTGATGAAATTATGTGCTTTTCCTGCAGTTCAGTGGAAAAAATCCTGGCGTTTTCTGGAGCCAAGTGGTACACCCCAGGTTTGGAACCAGTGATAGTCCACGATATTTTATCAGACAGCATTCCAGATATCAGGGACGATGATAGTATGGAAATTACTGCGATGATGCATGAGGGGAAAGAGGACGGTGATCTACTGAACAGCACTTCAGATCTAAATCTAGAAGATGACCCAGATCAGAGCAACATGCCGGTTGATCTACAAGACTACCTGGATGAATGGAAGGGATGTAGTTCATTTCCAGGCCATGACTTCAAAGCCTATGAGACAATAGCGAACCCGATGGATCAGATTATGCAAAACAAACCAAAAGAGATAGGAGAAGAAACTAGAAGTCATTCTGGACCGTCTGGAGAAGAATAAGAAATTAGGGGAGAAGGACAAATCTGCATGAAATATCGGGTCTTAAAGGAGGATTAACAAGAAGATTCTTATGCAAGCTATAACTTTTAGCTCTGAGAAGAAGGGATCTAGGTTTATAAGTGAGTGTTACTTCAGGCTTTGAAGCCCAGTTGGTTAAGGTCCAGAAAATCTTCAGTTTTTTAAGCTTAGAGTGAATCCCAACAAACTATTTATTTGATTATATCTGCAATGCATTTTCATGTCTAACGCTGAAGCTAGAACAGGGATGAGGGACTTTTTCTGCAGAAAGTCCCGTGTGGGTAGATCTTAAGCAGTAGGTGGAGTTAGCTATGCTCTCTTTGTATTTCCTTATCTTTCCGATATTCTTTTTTTTTTTTTTTTTTCCTTTCCTTCACAGCCGACTAGTATGGTTCACGCTCTTCAGAAGTCTAAACTGACTTCATGGAGCTTTGGAAATAGGCATCCTCTGAGGGTGCAGGTTGTGTACCCTTTGCAGATTCTGGATTCCTTCAGTTTCACGGAACCTTGTTGACTGGTTGTTGTGTTGTACTGTCTTTCTACCCTGCCCTTCCTGTTCTTAAATAAACGTTTTAAAAACATTTGAGTCTGTCTAATTCTTCAAAATGCAAGGAAGGTAAGTAAACGCAGACACGCTAAAGAATGCCACAAGAAAAGAAAGGGGAAATAAGATGCGCCATTGTCCTCGTATAAAATATTGATAAGGACAATAGGCTTCTATTCTGTCAGAAGATTTGAAACCGTATTCTTTACACCTGAATGGAAACAGACAGACAGACAGACGGACAGACAGACAGACAGACAGACAGACAGACAGACATAGATAAATAGCTCTCTGTCTGTTAACAGACTGATACAAAATGGAAGAATATATCCTAGTTCATACATAATGATAAGATTATCATTTTTAAAAGCTCAGTTTGTTGAATAAGGGGTGTGTGCATGCAGGATCTAAGCCATATTGTTCAGCTGACAAATCACAACATCTGAAGTCACATAATAACACACTAAACCAAAAGGATAATTGCTTAGCATCTGTGACCCACCCTACTGTTGTTTGTGATCTTTTAGTTGAAAGTTTGAAGAATCAAGTTCGGACCCCTTTTCTTTGAAAAGTTTCTCACTACGATTTGAAGAAATGATCCGCTCGCTCCATGTTTAATGGTGTCAACAATTCTGAATTCCACAAAATTAAGAAAGTCTCCCACAATCATATTTGGGGGGTGGGGGTGGAAATCCTTTAGTGCCCCAAATCTCATTTTTTCAAAAATAAATACCTCACCATAACATCAAACGACCTATTTTGAGGTCCTGTAGCTACAACAGCTGAAAAAGAATTGTGTTGGAATGGAAATTACCAGCCAGAATTCTCAGAAATTTAAACAACAATGAGACATTTATGCTAGCACAATTCTATTCTTAGATGGTAGCAGCTATTTTAAGCCATTTTATCTTTTGCTGATAGATTGGATTAGAGACTGGTAAATCAAAAAGTTCTTGGCTACTGGTTTTTTTATTAGTTTTGACAGGAAGCAGTTTGAATGTTATATTTATAGCCAAAAAGCTGGCTGCTCACATATTAGTAGAGCTTATTTCAACCATGACCTGCTTCACAGGCAATAACTGATAAATATTAATCCTTTAAAATGCAGACACTGGATGGAGATTCTTTCCTTCATTTCCATTTACTTTAACAAACTCAAGGGGACCTGATGGATCTGGGTAAATTGTAGCCTAGAAATATCTCTCATTGGTGACATCTTCATGGGGATATATTTAGGAGAAGCCTGACTTGGTGAGCCCTCGGCAAAAGGCAGATGATCAAACAAAAGAAAAATGCAGAAAAAACAAAATGCAGAATAACAGAAGAGTTGGAAGAGACCTCGGAGGTCTTCTAGTCCAACCCCATGCTCAAGCAGGAAACCCTATACCATTTCAGACAAATGGTAGTCCAATTTCTTCTAAAAAACTTCCAGTGATGAGGCACCCACAACTTCAAGCAAGTCGTTCCACATAAAGCCCACGGTGAGTTGTCCTTACTTGGATAGGTCCTCTAAGACTTATTTATCTGACATGTTCCTAGAACTAAATGAACTCTCTTTGAAATAAACATGTGATGTAAAAGCCTGAAATATGCTTCAGATTCTATCATCATCATCATCATCATCATCATCATCATCATCATCATCATCATCATCATCATCATCATCATCATCATCATCTAAACATGATGAATATAAAGTATTTCCATTCTGTCCACTTGTTGAGTTTTTGGAGCTGCTTATACAGTATTTTTTTTTCAAAGATCAGTAGACACAATCCCTAAGAACAAAGAAGCCTAAACAGTACAATACATGTGAGATAAAATGATAGCAATCCATCGATCTTAAACGTTTGCAAAAATCCGTGTGTCCTTCGTCAGTTTCTGGAGTCCTGGTTCTTAGCTCCATAACTCCAGACATTTCTGGCTGAAATTTTTCATGGAAAAGTAGGAAAATAGGTGACTGGGGCAATCAATGCATAGACCAGCTTCACTATTACATTTTAAGATTGCTATTCTCAATGTTGACCAGATTATTGGGAGTGTGCCCAGACCTTGTCCTCACATCAAGGAACCAGGTATCCTATTTCAAAAATTCAGACTCCTCATGTATTTTTGTAGTAACCATCTTCTTAAAACAGCACAGATGAAATTAAGAATGAGGAAGCTCAGCTAAACTTCCTTCATTAGAATAAAATAGAGAAGTTGACCAAGATATCTAAAGTGAAACTCAATGTTTATTGTCTCTTGAGATCTCAAAAGGAAGGCAAAAGTGTTGCTATCGTCGCGTTTTAGAAGCAAGAGCTTCAGAACATATCAAATAATTTCCAGAATTCTATCAGGTCAGGATTTTGTATGTCTTAATTAAGAGTAGGCAAGTTTCAAATTTATGGGATATGCTTGCTTAGGACTTAGGACTATTCCTAACTGTATTGTTTTGTCTGTTAGAGTCTGTTAGAGAGCCAGTAGGCTAGATGGCTGTGAGAGAGTTCCATCCATTGTGTGTTTTGTGTGAACTCAATCCACTGCAACTTATTCAACTTATGCTGGAAAACATGTCTGAAAAGCTTTGTGTGATATACTGACAGCTTTCTCAGGTAGACCAAATAAGAACCATGACCAGACGAGATAATTCTACTTTATTGTAAGGCTACATTAACTAAATCTTGCAAGTTTGATAGGATAAATCTCCCTGCTGATCTTCTATAGCCTGGGGATAATTTTTTTTTTCTGCCTGTTATGGATCTGCTAGTTATGTCCTCTCTCATCTGATCATTCCCTAGACAGCAAATAGAGTAGAGTAGAACAGAACAGAACAGAACAGAATAGAATCACAGTGTTGGAAGGGATCTTGGAGGTCTTCTAGTCCAACCCCCTGCTCAGGCAGTAAACCCTATACCAGACAAATGGTGGTCCAGTCTCTTCTTAAAAACTTCCAGTGTTGGAGCATTCACAACTTCTGAAGGCAAGTTGTTCCCTTGATTAATTGTTCTAACTGTCAGGAAATTTCTCCTTAGTTCTAGGTTGCTTCTCTCCTTGATTAGTTTCCATCCGTTGCTTCTTGTCCTGTCCTCAAGTGCTTTGGAGAATAGCTTGACTCCCACTTCTTTGTGGCAACCCCTGAGATATTGGAACACTGCTATCATGTCAGTTTTTCTTTCTTCTTTTCTTTCTTCCTTCCCATCTCCCAAGGTCACCTAGCCATCACCCACCACTATACCTACTGATTATATTTGTCTCTGGAAGCTTTACGATGGATGAAAAGCAGGGCTGCTCAGGAGCAGAAGAAGGACATCAAGATTTAGCAGAGACATCCAAGCCTCCTATGGTCATCCCTTCAGGTGAAGAGGATGATTATGAAATCATGAACTCATTACAAGCACCCCAGGAAGCAAAAGAGACCACCAACCAACCAGGTAAGCAATTTTAAAAGATAGGCAACTTGCTGTCCTCCAGAAGTTTTGCATTCCAAATTCCATTAGCCCCCCCCCCACCCCACTGGAAAGGTACTCCAAGAATCCAACACAACAGCCTACCTATGGTTCTGATTCGGCTCAATACTGAATTTGAATGTACTGGCCTTTTTACAGAGATTGAAGTTCATTTATATACTCCAGAAAGCTCGGATTTAATGAATGGGGATTTGACAAAACCAAGTGAAATCTAGAAAGGAACAAGACAGGGGTGTCATTTATCCCCTTTCTTCTTTATCTTGGTGATGGAACTGCTAAACAGGGACATTAGACAAGAGAACAGAGTAAAAGGATTATAAATTAAAGCACATAAGTATAAACTTCATGCTTTTGTTGATGACTTGGTTTTGGTTTTGCAAGACCCGCTAGAGAATATTGAATATGCTATGAGGAAGAGTAAAATATTTGGAGAAATGGCGGGTTTGAAAATAAAGATAAAAGGATGATTCTGCTCAATATACTGCATGCATCCAGCAGTTATGATTTGTAAACTGTGGTTTATAGCTTAACTCAGTGTAGTCTATTTCAAATTTCCCCTAGCATTTCAGTGCTCTAAAGATAATATCAAATATCTTTATTACAATCTTTGACCCTCCTTTACAATAAGAGTACAGTAAAAAGGAGAAATAGTTTAATACAGCAGTTAGTTATTAGGGAAAAGGGAAAATAGTCATAGGATAATAAAACAGCATATCTAATTAAAACTTTAAATATGGAGAAAAATATTTGACGACCTGATACATCAGTATAACGTTAGGGTCCCTTCAAAAATAATAAGCGTACAATTTATCTGCATCACCCTTGTATTTGGAAATGATTGAGGTGATCAGACATGTGTTGGAGCATCATAGAAAGAGCACTAGGTGGGAATATAAATTAGAGTTTCTACTTCCCTGGTACCACATGGGCAGTGTCTGTAACTAAGGGTCTTATGGAATCTTTCCTCCAGTAAAGCTGATGATAGGGGATCAAATCAAAATCTAGAAAACGCCCATCTATATTGGCTTGGTGTTAAACCGCCTGGGTATCCTGCGTGATCTAAAGATAATAGAAAGTTTACAATCCATGCCATAATTCTAAATCAGCACATTGACTCTAATTTTAGGTGAGAAAAGTCCCAATTCTTCCATGACAACTAAAGAACTTCAGGAATACTGGCGGAATGAGAAACGGAGCTGCCGAGAAGTCAAGGTGCTTTTTGAAATCCCATCAGCCAAAATTGTAGAGAAGGCTTTCTCTAAATATGTGGTAAGCTAATATAACAAAAGAGTGGTGATGATGATGATGATGATGATGATGATGATGATGATGAGGAGGAGGAGGAGGAGGAGGAGGAGGAAGATGAACCAGCCTAGGGTTTGAAGCAACCTCTGTTGACCTAAGATTGCTCAGATCTCTAGCTAAATAATTCCCTTTCATTGGTTGAGTCAATCACAACTCTGATAACTTCACTAAGGCTGGATAGTTTTATTTGTTGTACTAAATCATGGTGAAGAATACAATGGTTAGGTTAACACCACATTATAAGCCACAAATATAATGATTATAGCAATTACTGGATTAAGCTACATAACATCTTAGCACAAGCATTGTGGTTTTGAATAGGGTGGTACCCCAGCTGTAAACCATAGATTACAGTACAGCATTATGTGTGACCCAGTAATTCACACAAAGTACTAAGCCATGAGTACTTTGATCATGGATTGTTGAATAAACCACAGGACGTAAGTTAACACCTAAGATTAAACCATCTGCCACGGCGAGAAGCCAGCGTATTGTGCTAAACTAAAACTGCAAATATTACAAGTCATACAACCCATATTCAGGGTAACTTCCAGACGACTCGCTCCCCTCTTCCATCTGACATTCCTAAAATATTTTGCTTGTGTATCCCTTCTAGAAGTACCAAATCATCATAATCCAGACTGGCAGCTTTGACAGCAACGTGTCAATGATTGAACGCCGGTATTCTGATTTCGAAAAGCTGCACACGAGCCTGTTTAAGGAGTTTTATGACGAAATGGAAGACCTTGTCTTTCCCAAAAAGATCCTGACTGGCAATTTCATGGAGGAGGTCATCCTGGAGAGAAAACTCGCTTTCCAGGATTATTTGCGAATTCTGTACTCCATGGAATTCATCAGGACATCTCGGATGTTTATTGACTTTTTAACGAGGCCTGAGCTGGAAGAGGCCTACAGCTGCCTTCGGGGAGGACAATACACCAAAGCGTTGGAAGGTCTTCTGGAGGCCGTCGCTTTGCTAGAGAAGCTGACAAGGCACCGGCCCATTCTGTTGGTTCCCACCCTCTGCGCCATCCTTGTATGTCACAAAGATCTGGAGAACGTCAAAAGCGCCTTCGAATTTGGAGAGAAGGCCCTACAGCGCTTAGAAAAACAAACTGGTCACCGGTACTACCTGCCACTGCTGGAAACGATGATCTCCTTAGCATATGAACTTGGGAAAGACTTCCTGTTCTTCCAAAAGAAGATGGAAGAGAGGAAGGCCAAAAAGCTTCCGCAGAAAATGTTGACACTGAAGGAACTGATAGTACAGGAATACGTATAATGAGGAGAAGAGAGGGAGAGAAATAGAATGCAGATTTTGATGAGACAGGAACGTTTTCCCAATAGAGAGACTGAAAGATATTGGGAACTTAGAGGGGGAAAAAAATATGAGGGAACATGATTTGTTGTGTGCAGAAAGCAGAACCTTTTGCTGGTTCTTCTTATGATAAAATTCAGAGATCACCCAGTGGAGACATTTCAGAGCGATCCAGAACTATTTTGTATAAGTGTTCCCTTGGACCTAATAAATGTGCGACACTTCCATTCAAAACCAAGGTTGACACTGACATATTTCCAAAATTTAAGTTTTCTTTCTTCCAGGGACAAGTTATGTTTGGACAGTAAAGTTGAAATGAAAGGCATCCAACTCTGCAGTTGAGACCTATTGTCTATATGTCTGTACCCTTATGGCAGGGGTACCCCACCTAAAAGTCCCAGGAATGTAAGTGGCCACTGGAAACTTGGGGTACAACTCCCAGAGTCCTTGCAAAAATTGCCTTCAAATTCTATTTTTAATCCAGCTGAGGGAGGAACAATTAAAGACGCTAGCGGCAATCTTGTGAACTAGGTTGAATTGATCTAATATAATTCTAATCCCATTTTAAGGGATAAGTCAAATTAAATCAGGTTTAGATTTGTGTCTCGTCTTGGAGCATGCTGCTTAAAGACCAAGGACAGAGATGTGTAAAGAAATTGTGAGGGCCTCAGACATCATGATGGTGTACCTCCTTTGTACCCAGTCACAGGTACAGACATAAAAACAGTGTGATGGGCTTGTTTAACATTTGATGGATGGGTAGGAGGCATTTTCATGTGTCCTACAGCAGTCCATGTGGCTAATTTATGATTCACCAATTGTGCAAACCCAGGAAAATGTCCCATATCAGCAACTGCATTAACTGTGTTGTGTGAATGCATACACACCCTTGGTTGTATCGTGGTAAGCAGTATACTAATATAGAGGTAAACTGTTTGCTTTGATTCGATTTTTAGGGGTTTTTTGTGTGTCGGCACTTCAGAAGCTTCCGTGAGCCCTCGTTGAGGGTGTCAAGACAAAATGCAAATCCTATGCTATTTCATCTCAAAAGAGACAGGAGATGGCTAGCATCTGCCTGATGTTTTATAGAAACCTCCAATGACACATTCATGAGCATGTAACATCTGGGTGGAACAGTTTGAACATCTTCTGGGATCTGTGTTACAAGTTATTAATGTTGGAGCTCATTTTCACATCCGTTAAAATTACTGGGAATAGAGATGCCCTACCTTTGATGGTAAAGATCTCGAAAACATACCATGAATACTGTTAGATAGATGCCCGCTAAACCAGAAATCAAGGCCAAGAAGTCTGGAGTAACCCAAGAATATCTAGGTCGGTATTTCTTCACCTTAGCAACTTTAAGGCGTGTGGGTCCCAACTCCCAGAATTCCCCAGGCCGCCACCGCCATCCGGAGCAGGAGCCCCACCCAGCAGGAGCCCCACCCAAAGGAGGCGAAGCGGCCGACTAGCAAGCTCGAGTAGAGGTGGTAGAGCAGAGGTCACCAACCATTGTCAATTGGTGGACTGGAAGAAAAGGGAGGGGGGAGCATTTTACATGCGTGCATGCACACATGGAGCTGTGAGCACGCATGCACTGCAAATAGGGTGGGGCTAGGGCCTGCTTGATACTCACAAGCCCTGCCCTGTTCTTGCATGGTGCAGCGCCTTGTATCTGCACCCCGCAGCGTGGCAGCAGCCATTTTTGCGCCTTGCAGCACGGTGGCCCATTTTTATGCCCCCGGTTTTTGCGTGCCAGAGGTGGCACTCAGAGGCATCTCCCTGCCCCCCCCGAGGGCACCACAATGCTGATGCAGCCCTGGCACTTTGCAATAAATAAGTGGGTTTTGGGTTGCGGTTTGGGCACTCGGTCTCTAAAAGGTTCGCCATCACTGTTCTATTCTCTGTTCTATGAATTCAGGAGTACATGTTTCTCTGGATAATGAATTTATGGCGCCACTAGATGGTGCTGCCACATTGAATGCCATCTGTAGTTCTAGGAGCCTGTCATAAATCCAGCCTCTTTCTTCCTCTTTTAGAAAAAAAGCTAAACTTGTTATTTTTATTTTTTTTAAAAAAATGAAACAATTGGAATTGAGGCTTACAATTCAAAAAACAGGCCATTTACATTATTAAGGATTTAAATTTGAAAGAAAAAAAATACACACCCAAAAACAATTCCACTGCGCTCTTTGGATTGAAGAATTTACCTTTCTAGTCATCCTTGAGGACAATTTAATATCTCCCTTTATCACGAGGCTGTATGAGCCCGGCTGGAGAGAGCTGAAAGGGAAAATATTCTTGCAGACTTTTAAACCTGGTGAGTTCAAAGCCAAAGGCACAGCTGTGCTTCCTTCCTTATACTGCCATTTCCTCCTGATCAAAAGGAAGCAAAGTAAAACTTGAAACTCTTTAAAGAACTATCAGATAATGAGGGGAGGAGAAGAACAAAAGCGAACTCTTTCTCTTTCTCTTTGCATGATCCAGAGGACAGTTGAAATTCAGTGTATTTCCTAGCTGACTTTTTTTGCTGGAATCAGAAGTTGCCTGAGATCGTTAACTGAATGTTGAGAATCCAGAAAGTCTAGATCAGGGGTGTCCGTCCTTGGCAAATTTAAGACTCGTGGACTTCAACTCCCATAATCCCCCACTATGATAAGCTGGGGAATTTGGGGGGTAGAAGTCTGCAAGTCTTAAAGTTGGACACCCTGGATCCAGATGAAAGCAGCATCAATCTGTCACCGTAAGGAGGGTCTATCTGCAGTAGACTGACCTTGATTAGTTTCCATCCATTGTTTCTTGTCCTGCCTTCAGGCGCTTTGGAGAATAGCTTGACCAACCCTCTTCTTTGTGGCAGCCCCTGAGATGTTGTAACGCTGCTATCATGTCCCCCCTCGTCCTTCTCTTCATTAGACTAGACATCCCCAATTCCTGCAACCTTTCCTTATATGTTTTAGACTGCAGCCCCCTGATCATCTTTGTTGCTCTTCTCTGCACTCTTTCCAGAGTCTCAACATCCTTTTTATATTGTGGTGACCGACACTGGATACCAAGGCATTGTAAAGTGGTATTAACACTTCACATGATCTTGACTCTATCCCTCTGTTTATACAACCAAGGATTGTATTAGCTTTTATGGCTGCCGCTGCACACTGCTGGCTCATGTTTAAGTGATCGTCCACTAGGACTCCAAGGTCCCTCTCACAGTTACTGTTTTTGAGCCAGGTTTCGCCTACACTGTACTCGTACCTTTGATTTTTCCTTCTTAGGTGTAATCAGGGCTTTTTTTTCCCTCATAGAATGCCCAGAACGGAGTTCCGGCACCTTTTTTTGGATGGAACCTTGTAGGGTAGGCAAGGCGGGTTGTATGACATGTGTGAGTTCTGGCACCTTTTTTGTTTGCAAAAAAAGCACTGGGTGTAACACCTTGTAACACCACATTAAAATTCATGTTGTTGGATAGGGCCCATTGTTCAAGTCTGTCAAGATCTTTTTGGATCTGGAGCTTGTCTTCTGGGGCGTTGGCTATTCCTGCCAGATTAGTGTTGCTTTTCCACCTGTTCCTCAAGGTTATTCCTTCTACTCATTACAACGGCAGTCCCTAGTGGGTGACACCCAGAGCTGGCTTCTC